TCAACTTATTTTCTCCAAATGGAATCGCCTTCTTTTGTATCTGTATAAATAAATTTGGTATAAAAATCCCATTTACACATAAAAATTGTCTGAGCCTTTTTCCACAAAACAGTCCGCTGAATTTTAAATGAATTCTTCTGTGGCTCATTTGAACCAAAAAATCAAAATATATGTTGATTATTTTGGCTCAGAGCGTCAAGCATGTTCCCGGGCTTAGTTGCGATGCGATTTTTGCAAATTTTGAGTCATTTCTAGCGATTTGAGTGTGTGCGACGCATAGTTTTCCCTCTCCGCAATGTGCAACACTTGAGTCTTCGACAGCAGAATATCGAAAATATCGCCAGAAAAATTAAAACCGGCCAAAAACCCACACAATCACAAAAAAAACGATTTCTTCAATGCAAAAGGCGGAAACAACTGATCCTTTTCAAACTGCTGAAACGCCATTCACCTATACCGGCTTCAATTAGTCGAAGGTTAATAAAACCGTCAGTCAAAAAAATTGAATTTACATTGGCAGACTTTCATACTTCTCGAAAAAAATTTACCATGAACCCTCGAAGAAAACCGCGAAAAATCAACAAACCAAAGACCAAACTGGACGAAATGGAAAACTGCAATCAGTACGCATTCTTCAATGCGAACGAACTGGCGCAAATAAAGAGTGCACTGAGAATCAAAGAAGTGGTAAGCAACTGAGATTTATTGCCAACTTTTTTTGATTGGATTGAATTCAACTTTCTACTACTGAACGGTTTTAGTTAAGTATACCAATCGCTATCGGTTGCGTAATCCTGAACAAGTTGGAGACTTTAGAAGAAGCCATCGGGAGCGGCGTTAACATCAATGAAATTGGCCCGGTAAAAATCGATTTCCAATACTTTGTTTCACAAGTTCAATTCGTATGTTTATAGAACAATACAACTGCCCTCATTTGGGCAGTGAAATTGAAATATTTAGACATGATCGAATTCCTGCTCAATAACGGCGCTGATCCAAACATGAAAGTGGAAAATGGAGAAAACACCGTTTTAATAGCCCTAGAACACAAGCTATGGGACGAACAGTCTTTCATGGAATACTGGGGCATGGTTTCCAAAGTATCGCGCATCGAAGTGAATGCGATCAACAAAAACGGTCACACCATCCTCCATATCGCTGTCCGTAGAGAATGGGAAAAATTAATCAAGCTACTTTTAACGCAAAAAGTCAGCTTGATCAGTTTCCCGCTGTACATTGCTAAAGTTGTCTTATCTAGGCCGATTTGGATATCACCAACATCAATGGAGTCACCCCCTTAATGACTGCCTGTTTTCGCAATAATCCCCACATCGTGAACATACTGATAAATCACGGGGCAAATTTCACCAAAGAAGACAATCACTGTAGAACTGCGCTGTGTTATTCAATAGTTACCGGCGCTAAATGCTCAAAGCCCCCATTTCCCATTGCGGAGCGACTCAGCTTCGAGCTGAAAAAGGACTTTTCGTTCAAGGAGTATATTAAAGTATGCGATTTTTTAGTCAAATGCCCACTCTCATCTAGTCTGGAGGTTTTGTAGCGAAGAATTGAAATAATCGAGCTTATCCTCAACAAGGAACGCATTTCGGAGCAAGAAGGTGACCTATTGGTGACTCTCACTCAGTACCTGGTTCAGCACACGGAAAATGGCTTAAAAATTATTTTGGAGTTCGATATTTTTGAACTGTTTCAACGAGTAAGTAACTTATGGAAAGATTCCAACTGAGAACGATTGGAAATATTACATCGACAGGTTCTGCGGAATATTCAAGACGACGATAAAAGAAAACTCCTGCTTCAACTCACGCAGGAATTGCTCTGCTACAATGAGCAAATTGTCGGATTTAATTGCGAAACTCAACTGAAACTCAGCCGCCAGTTTCTGAGCAGCCAAATCGGCATTTTGTGTGTGGAAATGATCAAAAACAGACAATCTCACTTTCGCTCAGCCTTTTACGTTGTTCTGATGTTCGGCACTTTGAACGAATTCGGCCAGAACTGGATGAAGGAGAATTTTGTTCAATTCAAGCAAGCTTACAGAAACTTGCCTCCCGACTACATGAACTGGCTTCAAAGAGATTTTCCAGAGGAAAAACGACAGAAATTTGTAAGGGGTTTTCCAGTTGGACATAAATTGCGACTCGGTTTTAAAAACGTTCCTCAGATTTAATCAAATTATCTTTATATTCTCCTAAGAAAGTACAGTTTAAAATATTAGAATGAATGAAGGAGGCGATGCTTGAAAAACAGCGATTGGGCTGAGAGGTTTCGACATCAAACAGTAAATTTGCATAATTGGGAAACTCCTTAGGTCGAATGCAGCCCAAAACCTCGCATGTGAATTTTACATTTTTTTGTTCTAAATTTCTTAAGAGTGTGTCGAATTTCTCCAAATGCTTTAAACAGCGTAAATTTGCAGAATTGGGAATCCCCTTAGGTCGAAAGCAGTCAAAAAA